AATATGTTAATAATATTCTTCATAATTTGAAAATATTTCTTATATTTTTACTCAGGAAAATAGCACCATCTACTGATCATCACTATGAAATTCCTGTATGATTTCCCTTGAGTGTGTTTTACTTGTGTGCAACATCATAAACTTAACTCTGGATAACTCTTGAACACATGTGAAGGAAAGACGGTGCATCTTCAGCCATCAGCTAATACCACCGTGATGTTTTATTGTTTTAATATCCAGAAACACCTTAGCAGCAGGAACAAACTCAGCTTCAGATCCAAGGCACAGAGGTCCCCAGTGAGGTTTCTCCCACCTCTGTCTCACAATCCAGGGGTGGAAGTCAAGGCTGCAGAGCCTGTGGGTGCACTCAGGGCCTTAACTGCAGCAAGAAAGCTTAGCTATAAATAGGTTTTCTTTGCTCATTTTTCTGCACTTTTGATAGGATTTGAGTTCTTAAAAAGTTCTAGTGCTGTTCTGAGAAACAATTTCAGAAAACTAGTGTGCTGGTGATTGCTGTCATCCTATGAGTGATGGGACTATTTCCCCAATGTCTCACACCTGATATGATTGTGATGATTGTCTCTAAACCAGAATGTCTGGAGCTGAACCAGGAGCTCCCACAGTTGCATGCACAGCTACAGCTTGAAATGCCAGCTAAATCTCCATGACTGGCACCCATGACCTCTGTGGATCTGGCACAGAGTGGAATTCATTATATATTTATTATCTGCTCATGCAGTTATGCCTCTCTGTGAGTCACTGGAGAATTCCTCATATATTATCTACTTCTCATATATTGCCCTTTTCAGGCCACAGCCCAGCAGCTAGAGCTGAAAGGTATCATTACGCAATAATTTCTTGCTTGACTCAGCCTCCAATTTTGAATTCCTAGTCCCAGGGACATGTGTTCATGGGAATATCTCAACTGGCTAGGAGAGGAGTTCTTTAAAGAACATTTCTAGATGTTGTAGCTCCAGGGTAAAAACTATCATGACTCATTTGCATTCAACATATTGCACTACCCTTCTTATAAATAAATTATAAGTCTTTTGGGTTTGAGGGGTTTTTTTCATCATACACTTGAACTTATATTGAAAAGGTTTCTAGTTCTCCTGGCAGGGCAGATGGTTATTTCTTTATCTTTGTATGCAAAGACTGAAAAATCTCTTTCATCCATTAAAAAAAGAAAGAAAACCTGAAAGATGGATATGGCACAGCCTTCCTAACCAACCTGCACTATCATCTGACTGACCTCATGATAAAACAGTTGAAAGCTGAGTTCAAGTCAAATATAAGTTACCTAAAGATATATAACTATAATGAAGGAGTGGAGAAAAAATAATGAAGCAGAGCCATTTACATGGGTAAAAGCAGAGGTCCTAAGGTGTATGGTCAGATATTAAGCAGATAAATTACAGCCATTTGTAGGCCTATATTTATCACTGTGTGAAATCACTTCAAAGTATATGACAAATTCATAGACAGGGCTTGCAGATGACCTTTTGTTGAAATGCAGAATTAAGTTGCAATGCTAGGATGTAATAAATGGCTAAGTGGGTCAGGAAATGCAGTTTCATGAATTTACAAGGAAAAAAGGTGTGGTTGAATTATCTTTTGGTTTTTTTCATTCAAAGTATTTCAAATTCCCATGGTTGGTTTGTTGCAGGAGCATCCCATTGCTATTATTTTGCACATAAAGAACATTTTGCTTTTATTTTGTGTTTTTTAGCTATTCCTCAAGTCCCTCTGAGTCCCTTCCCTCGTGCCAAGTGACTTGTGGAGTTACTCTAGAGAGGGACAAGCCCTGATGTTAAGATTCATAGATTGAATTAGAACATCCATCATCAAATCATACCATGAGAATAAGGATCACTTTCTCATTTTATTGGAAATGCAGAAATAATCTTCACTGGAGTGGGGCCTGGGTCCTGCATTTTTTTGTCACCCAGGGTTGTGACAGACCCCTCAACTCCAACTTATGATTCATGCTGCCCTTCAGCTCTGCTGCTCAGAGAACTTCTGTAGGTTATCTCTTCTGGTTCTTCTGGGGCTCACGTTCCTCATGCTCTAAAATTTCCCTTTTTCTGTTAAGGAGCACTTTTAGGAGAAAGGAGTGCTCTCGAGTGCACTCTGGAGTTCACTCTGGGCCCAGTACTGCCTGACATCTCCCTGTTCCAGCAGGTGCTGAGGATTGTTTCCTCCAGGGCAGCAGAGGGAAGCACACACTGCAGGTTGGCTGAGGGCTGGCACGAAGGGCTAAGCTGCTCTCTGCCTCTGACAAATCATTCACACAAAGCCAGGCAGACTCCAGTGTACAGAATCATATTTGGCTCTCAGAGAGCTCCGTATAAAAACTGACTTTGAGAGGATCAATACAAACCACCATAAACCAACTACTTCTTCTAGTCATAATTGCATTTGAAAATTTGGCCTTAAGCAATTTGACTCACACGGTGAGTCAGGGATGCCTTCTGTTCTTCTGTCAAAAATGTAGTAGGCTATTGATCTGAGAACTCCAGAGGGACTTTGGGATACAGCCACTAAGCGGAGATAGAAGGCACTGGAAGTTATTAGGAAAATATGTTTTCAACAACTTTAATTAACAATAAACTGCACCTCCACCAGGAAAGATTTGAGACTAAAGACTATATATATATTTTTTTAAGGTAGGCAATTACTTGGTATATTGAAAGGTCATAAGTTCTACTAAATTTTGGACAAGCTGACTGATGTGCGGTTCTGATTTCTTATTGCATATTGTACAATACATGTCAAGTGCATAATACATTCTGTATCTACAGTGTACTATAATAGTGCATATCTCCATGGCAAGACAAAAAAGTCCTGGATAATTACAACTTCTCAAAAACCTTGAAACCACATCACAGATTATCAAAGATATTTTACTAAAGCAAACCAAAGAAATTGGACAGAACTAAAACCAAAATGTTCAGATTAAACATAGTAAAACTTAAACAAGAATTGTAATAGATGGTTTTCTGGCTCCATCTGGTGTTTATTTTACAAAATTTCTAGATCAAGGAAGTATGATTTCTACTTCCTTTTCCAGCTACACACGAGAAATAAAGAATGGTATTAAAAAGACACTTGAATGTATATAACCTGAGGACTTATATTCAAAGTTATATATTATTTATTGTGAAAGTAAAAGAAGAATACTTTTTAAAATTAGTTTTATATCCTGTGACTTAAATAATTTTCAGCTCTGAGAAAGGGCTTCTATGGCAAACTTGTCATTTCTCCTTAGGATACCAGTTAGAAAGACAAAATACTATTCCTCCCTACTAACCTTGTGTTGCTTACATCCTCATGATGGCTAAACCAGTACTGCTGCTTTATTCAAATAAACTCCCAAATATTTGCAACACAATTATCACAAGTTTTCACATTAAATATTTTATTGGTGCTGCTTTCAGATCTGACAATAACATATTTGCTGCCTGTAGAGAAAAACCACCTGCTTCACTTGGTTTGTAATCATTTCTAGGAGGAGTTGATCCATCACTGTCTCAGGGGTTGAAGCAACACTAGTGTGTCTTTAGTTTCCTGGGCCTTCTCTTGGGTCCTTCTTGTAGATATGTCTGACATTTGTCCTCTTCTAGTCATTAAAGATATCCTCCAATCTCCATTACTTTTAATTATAAATTTTAATATTATAGACAGTGGCCCTCCAGCAATGTCAGCCACTTCTCTCACACTGGGGCAAATTTTGTCCAGGCACATAGACTCATGTGGGTATCAGAATAATAAACTCTTCTTTGTTAGCAATTCTCACAATATCGTGACACAATACTCTTCTTTTTCTATTGGGGCTAACATATAAAACATCCTTGTCCTAGTATGTTCATAACCCAGCAAACTTATTGTAAAAACAGAGTAAATTAAATGTTATCCTTAAAAAAAAGTATTCTCCATTTCTATAGAGTACGTATATACAGAACATGCACTCTAAAAACAGTATTGAATCAACATGAATGAGAGAGTCAGCTCTCACTCAGGGAGGGAAGAACAACACGCCAGCTTTGGGACATCCTGAAATTCAGGAGAAAGTGATCTCAAGTCTGGGTCCCTATCAGGGTATCATCAGAACAAAAAAGTTACTTAGTATCTTTCTGTGCTTTTTTTTTCCTGGGGTGGGTAGGAGATACTTTATTTCACCAAGGGACCTTCTGCAGGAAGGCAGAAGCTACATGTTTTCTATTATATGGAGCATTTGAGCTTCCGGGGAACTGAGACATAATGTGAGTTAGCTTCCTTTCAGGGTAGAGTTTCCCAGTAGCTCAAAAATATACGTATTTCGTGGAGGTGTGGTTTTTTTATGTTGTTGTTGTTTTTTTTTGTTTGTTTGTTTGNTTTTTTTTTTTTTTTTGTCTGAAAGTTTGCAGGGCAGAAAAAGAGTTTCGAAATATATTGCGATAAAGCCTGTGATCTCTTACTGACTAGCAGCAGGAGAAATCTTCCTAACTGATATTGACCGTCCAAATCCCCATGAATTAAGTGCAGCCATTAAAAGAAGCTGAAGTCAAAGTAATCCACAAAGAACAACTACTCATACAACCTAAAAAACAAACAAACAAAACAAACAAACAAAAAAAAACCCCAAAAATCCCAAAAAACCACAAAAGAAGCAAAACAACAAAACCAAACCAAACCAAAAAATAAAAGACAAAAAAACTAAAAAGAATAAAACCAAACCAAGCCAAACAAACAAAAAACCCAAAGAAGTAAAAAAAAAAAACAAAAACAAAACAAAAAAAACCACCCTAAAAACCCCGAAAACACACAAAAACCACCACCCGGCATCCCTGCGCAGCCCCTGAGGAGCGACCGGGAGCCGCACGGGCGCGGCTTCGCCCCAGGCCGGGGGCGGTGAGGTCGGGCCGGGGGCTGGGCCAGAGCCTTCCCCCGGCCATGGCGGCGAGGGCGGGCCCGGAAGTGGAGCAGCCACCGCCCGCCTGGCTTTTCCGGCGGTCGGGAGGAGTGGCGGCGCTAGCAGTGAGCGGCATGCTACAGTTCTTGGTAAGGCTCTGGGCTCCGAGGCGTGGCACTGTCGCCTTGGCACGGCACGGCACGGCACGGCACGGCGGGGCCGCTGCCCGACCAAGGGAGGAAGGGCACGGTGTTCGGCCGCAGCGCGGCCCTTGTCAGCGGGGCGGCTGTGTCTGGTGTTGGCTCCCATCCTTGTGCGGCTTCCCTTCTCCCTCTCCTTCCTACCCGTCTCTCTTGTTCTCGCAGAACGGTGCCTTAAAACTGTTCTAAAAATGGAGTTCCTCGGCTTGGTTTTCCTCCGAGTCGTGCTCTTAATTTGCCTTGGAGATTCTGCTTGCTCACAGTGATGCTCCCCTTGCTGCTCAAATTTCTTTGTGTAAGCATAAATGCCTTTCTCCTTTAGTTGAGAGCAGGGGCGGCAGCCCTTGCTATTTTGTATACCCTTAAAAATGTAGGGGCAATGCGCTGGACATGTGGATTTTTATATACGGAAATTAAGGCAAGGGGTCACATTTCATTACTGCCTCGAAGAAGAGCAAAATTATTAGACTGAATATTAGACTTCATCTTTCGTTGGGGCACGATAATTCAGCTGGCTAATGAGTTTCATAGCAGGTGTTGATACAGAGCAAGAAGTGATGGCCTGTTGGAAGTTGGGAGAGTCTTGCCTGTTTTTTGTAGAATAAATAAATGAGGCCGATTTCTCATCCCAGCCTCATAATGTACAAAGTATGAAAGTCTCAGTCATTGCTGTAGCTGTTTATCATCCCCTCTCCAATGAAAACCTTCAGAAAGCTAAATATGGTTAGCCTGTCTCAAAGTTTCTGTGTTTATCAGCGCCACTGCTTTCTGCTAAAATTTTGGGTTTGTTTTTTTGTTTTTTTTTGGGGGGGGGGGAGGTTGGGTTTTTTTGTTGTTGCTAGATAAAAATACTTTCTAATTATGACTTCTCATTACTTTGTGACAGTTAGACAAAGGGTTTCTGGGTTTCTTCCATGCTTGGGGGTAGACTGGATGTTTAACTCTGCCTGGTTATGGCTGTAGCAGAGAGATAAAGGAATAATCTCACAAACCTTGCGTTTTTGCAATCCAGAGTTAAGTGTTAAATAAGCTATTTGTTTTCAATGCATCATGAAATGCTGGGTAGAATTTGGAAGACCTTGAACTCTCCTCAGCCCTGTTGTTTTTAATCAACATGCACATTTTCATTGGCTATGTGTTTTGCTTCCCATAAAACTGAAGTCTTAAGTAGTGATTTTTTTTCCCCCACTGCTCAAATTGTCAGCTCTAAAAATAAGTGCAACTAGGTGGATGCAGTGCTGGACTTTCTAATAATGGAAAGTCACTTTTAGAGAGTACTGATCTCAGTACTGTCTCTACTGAGTAAGGGTTATCTCACAACAGAATATGACACATATTGGAAAGGTTCTAGGGTAAAAACGTAGAACACTGCTAATAAACAAGGATCTGGTTTGTGTTTCCAGATGGCTTCCCAGACACTGCTTAAGATGCAGGAAATTCTCCTCTGCTAGTATGATGCCCTGAATTAAGAGGAATCACAGGTCTGGTTTTCATTAGTGCATTATTTGTTAGTATCTCCTAGAGTACCTACTTAGCTGGTAATTGAAACTACAAGAGCATATGATAACCAGGACAATACACAGAAGAATAATTATTCTTAAATTGTTAAAGCTAAGCTTAAAAAAGTAATTTTAACAAGGAATAAGACCAAAAATGTGTTTAAGAAAATGCTGAAGTAACTTGCAGTCAGAGTTCATTTGACAGCTCTCAGCCAATTTTAGTTTTCTATAGATAGATTTTCACCAGTGCTGCTTATGGAGTCTGAATCACAGAAAAGATGAGCTGTGATCTGTGCTGCTTTGGGCCTGGAAAAGATGTCTGGTCAGTAAGTAATGAGAAAGTTGTTTTGTAGGCAGTGGTTTTATTTTTCTTAAAATAGTCTTATTTAGATAGCAGTGACCATGAGCAGTAACAAGTTTCTTAAATAGAACTGGCCACAGCTGTTACAAAGAGTGTTTTGTCTACTAACAATGAATGAAAGCACAATATTAGTAGTGCCCCCTTTCAAAACAGTTAAATGAGCTTTCATGGTATAGGGCAGACTTATTTTGGAAATAAAATGTAGAATACTGAGGAATGAGTATCTTGTGGCATGTCTTTGAAGAGCAGAGTTTCTTTCACTCCAAAAGTGTTCTTATGCTTGAGGATTTTCCTCAGCTGGCAAACAAGGTCTAGGCCAGAAACTGCGCTTGTGTTTCGCTCTTGCTCTGCTGCCAGAGTGCATTTTTATGGACATCTTTCATCAACTATAATTCTGCACAGTTGTTAGAAGAGGTTGTGTCCAGCTTCCAACCAACTGCACTGCCTTGGAGGAGCCCCTAGATCAGAATGGATTTGGCTGAGAACTAATCTCTTGGTGTCAGAAGGGTCTGTCTGGAAGATACACAGCTGTTGCTGTAGAAGATGCAGGTTTACATCAGTTTAAGTTCATGTTGTGAAGATTTTTTTTTTTTTTTTACTTCATACTAAGACATGTATGTCCCTTTCCAACACTGAGCATTGTTCTAGTGGGGTGTTGCTTTAGGCTTTCCCGGCATGGACCAAGAGTTCTGTGATATGTAGGTCCCTGCTGCTGTCTCCCTCATTTTTCTAGGAGTTACTGCCTTTGTGGGTGTGCAGAGGACCTTACAAGGATGAATACAGCTTTATCTAAATAGTCTTGGGGATATGTATGGACTAATAAAACTCAGTGGTATTTTGGAAATGATGGCAAGGTGTTTCTGGTGAGGAAGACCAGTAAAATTGCACCTCTCTGGATGAAAGATGAGAAATTAAATAGGAGAAGAGTTGAAACTCTTTAAATTATTTGCAATATTCCTTTTTCTTTATTTTAGACAATATGTTTTTGATGGAAGGATGTTAACTCTTCTCAATTTCTTCCATTTTAGCTTGGTTTTACTCTTGGCAATGTGGTTGGGATGTATCTGGCTCAGAACTATGATGTGAGTATCCTGGTATTCTCAGAGATAAACCTATCCTGAACTGAAAATATATGTCTGTTTTCCCTCCATTAGAATTTAAACAGAATGCTGACTTTAGTTACAGGAGAACACAGACTTCTTCAGGAAGAATTACCTCGCTGAAAGAGTGGTCAGGCATTTGAATGGGCTGCACAGGAAAGTGATAGAGTCACCATCCTTGGAGATGTTCAAGGAGTGACTGGACATGGCACTTAATGCTGTGGTCTAGTTGACAAAGTGGTGGTTGGTCAAAAGTTGGACCCTCTGATCTTGTAGATCTTTACCAACCTTAATAGCAAAAAAAAAAAAAAAGTGGAAGCAAAGCATCATCTTCTCTGTGGTAGTGCAGTGCTTAAAGCCTAAACTATTCCGACCTAGAGTCCAGGCATCTACAGGCAAAGACAGGAACATAAGAGGTTTATTAATCACTCGTGGATTTTACCAGCATTAAAATACTGGTTTCCTGTCTTGGATAGCCTGTCTTCTTACAGTGTTCTCCACTCAGTATAATTGTTAATAAAAATCCTTAGACCTCTGTCTCTCAGACAGATAATGAAAACAAGTTTTGACAGCTTTTTTAAAAAATTCCATACTTTCTCGTATTTCAAAAAGTGTATTCACCTGCAGTCTTTCTTTCCTTCTTTTCTCACTGTTATAGCTTAGGTTTGCCAATTTTAATATACTCACTTTCTTTTGATATAGAATTAGGAGCAAAAGCAAGGCAGGCCTAAAACTTAAAAGGGTATAAAAAAAACTTTACTAACAACACAGAGGAAATAATAAATTCAGAATAAGGTCTTCAGACTACTCCCTCCTTCCCCCTCCACACCTTCTTAACAACAACATACAAAAACACTTCTGTCAGTTCCCAACTTAAATAGTCCTTTTCAGTTCATTTCAGGAAGAAGAGTTTCCTCTTGTCAGGCCATAGGGACTTCTCCACAAGAAAAAAACAGTTCTTTTGTGGCTTCACTTTCCACGAACTCCTCCCATCTTCACAGCTTTCTCAAAGCTGTGCTTATGGGTCATGTTAAACTCATGGGGTATTTACTTTTAAGCATGAACTGTTCCAAAGCAAAAGTTCTTTTCATCTCTCTTTCTCTCTGTTCATACTCTCTCTCTCTTCCTACTTCATCCCCAGGAAGAGAGATCTCCTTCTTTCCTCGAAGCAAAGGATTCTCAACACAGGTGCTTTTGGTCAACTATATGTCAAATGGAACACTCCAACCCCCCCGTGTCTTTCTCCATGGTTTAAAGGAATTTCTTAATGTAGTACAGTCCATCCCTATAGCTTACAAAAGGATTTTCAGCCTGAATTCATGGCATCTCCTCATTCTCCTTCCATCTGGAACTTGACTCCTGCTTCACTGACTTTAGTGTATCCTCTCTGTTCTTTTTTTTTCGTTGAAGGGAGGATTGGAGGTCTGCAAGTCTTATCTGATCATTAGAAGGGTTAAAATTTCATACAGAAGTTTCAGGGTGTTGGGCCAGGCCATGCTGGAGCTGTGTTAGGATCTCAGGCCAAGTCCAGATAGGGAAAAAAAACCCGTGAGTTTGGTTTCATGGTTGCCCCCTCCCCCAGGCCGTGTGGGCGGCTGGGCGGGCTCGGCCACCCCATGGCTGCTCCGAGCCGGCGGCAGGGGCAGGGCCCCGTCGAGCTGCGGTCACGCCGGGTCAGGAGAGAGGGCTCCGATCTCAGCAATGGCCTCTCCTCCCCCTGGCCATCGGGGCCCCCGGTTGAAAACGGGGCCCAGCGGCCTCACGAGCCCACCCCTGCCCGGCCTGGGCCGCATGGGGAAGGGGCCCGGGCCAGTCAGTGTTACTATGTGAAAGGCTGGAAATTAAAGAGAGCTTTTCCCTGCATTACTTCCTTCAAAATGTGTGTTCATGGAGCAAACTAAGTTTTCTAATTGGTTCCTCAGGCTGTCAACAACCAAACCAGCCTCCAATTGGTCCCATCAACTCACAGAGGAAGTTCTCATAGAGAAAAACTTCTGAGCCTCCCTTCCCTCTAGGTGCCTTCAGTGCATAACCAGCACGCTCACAATGTGCGAAGGAGAACTTCTTTTTTCAGTTCTCAGTTAACAGATTTCAATGTGAGAGGGCAGAGGAAAAAGATTTCAAGCTGTGCCCTCAAAACATGCTTTTAATTACTGCTGAGTCAGCAGACTCCCTTGTAAGAGCAGTGCCACTTTACCTACTGGCTAGAGGAGTTAATAACATTTAACATATACATATTTTTAAAATTCTTATGCAATCTGTATTAGCCTCACTAAAAAAACAAAGTTGTTGAGGCTTTGGTGATATTTATGTTTTGCTTTCCTTTCATCTTCAGTATTGAAGTCATCTTGCTTTTAAAAAAAAAATCTTACATTTTGCTCTTTGTTTATGCACAAACTCTGGCGATTTTTCCTGACAGTCAGTCCAGTAAAAGGACTAGTGAAAGGCTGGTGTTTCTGTCCAATACACATTTTACAGTGTTACAAAAATGTAGTCATAAGAATACATTTGGATGTATCAATATGTATCACAAGCATTGTATGGTGCTTTTCTGGCAGCGCTGATAAAGTATTGCCACAAGAGGGGGACTCAGGCTTTTGATCTGCTGGAAGTGGCTTCCTGGGAATGCAACACTGACTTGCAGGATGAACATGGAAATTTTATTGCTGGTGTTGAAGATGATTGGTTTGAGATGACATTCAATATAAGCTGGTCTTAATTCTGCAGCTGTACACACAACGTACTTAGTTATAAGTACATGGAGGGTTCTGCTGGCAGTTGTGGAGTTCTCTTGGTTTAGTTTAAGTGTCAGGTGTGTTACAGGCTGGGTCCTAATTTCATTTGCTCAAACAGCTTAATTCTGTAAAGGAAGGTAAGAGGAACTTATGTTACCAGTTCTGTGAGCTTCAAACTATTCAATAAGAGAACTACATTCTGTTTGGATTAACTTCTGCTCTATGGTCATGTTGCAGATGAAGTAAAAAACCAGGATTTTTTTTTCCACAGCTAAGAGTGGAAAGTTTGCTTTAATTTCATTTTAATCAGTTAGCTTGTAAAATCATACGTTATCACGTCACAGTTTTAGCTAGTCTTTTGCTATTAGGAACTTCAGCATTTTTTCCTTTTCAAGTTATCAAAATTTATTGTTGGATTATTTTATCAAAATTCTTTTATTTGTAAGAAAAAGCTGAAGTTTCGAAGCTCACGAGCAGTAAATTGAATTTTCTTTCAAGTGTGAAACTGCAAAAGGATGCCAGTTTACAATGCAGTAGAATTCCCTGTGAGGAATTTTGTTTCCCACAAGATGAACCAAGAGAACTATTTCTTAATACATTTTTGAGAACATATTTGATGCTCTTTTCTCATGGGTTATGACCAGTATAGTACAATCTAATTTCCCCTTTGAAAGTCTGTGCATCAGTGTTTAAATCTGCTTATTCTTGGCAGTTTGTCTTCTTTCAGTCAGGAAGCCAGACTGGTCATGCTAAATTTCCTGTAAAGTGATCTTTTTTCCTTCTTCCTGTTCCCATCACCACTGGCTGACTTATAGCCTTAATAATCTAAATATTTCCTGAAGCCTTATGTAAGGTGCTCTCACCTCCTATTTGCCTGATACTGCTTAGATTTAATCTCCATGCAAGGTAACAGATAATGGAAATACCTTTTAAAAACCAGTTTAAACTTTATAGAATTTCTTGCTGTGTGTATGGTATTGTCTTTCCTGATGAAACTCACGTAGCCCAGCATTTTTTATGGTGTGATTGTTTTGTTTTGTCTTTAAAGATTCCTAATATTGCAAAGAAGTTGGAAGATTTTAAGAAGGATGTGGAAGCCAAGAAGAAACCTCCTAATGACAAGTCCTGAAAGAGCAGTGTTCCCCAGGTCAACTCTGTGTGCACCAAGGATGCAATTTACCTTTCAGGCAGCAAAGGTCAAGTAGAGGGTTGGCATGGGAGGTTCCTCTGCTCTTAGTCTTCTAGAACTGGAATATCCTTCTTTTGAGAGGGCAGCCGTGAGCTTTTCCTGGAACTGATTTTCAAGGGTTTCAGAATTTGGATTTGCAACTGATGCATGACTAGATGATATCGTTTGTATTTTTCAGTATTTCTTTTCCTAATATTTTGTAACCTGTTGCTACCTGATCCAGCTGGAGTACTTTTGGTCCTGTTACAATGTGTACCTCACACTTGATAATACCTGAGCTCTTAGAACAGCACAAAAAAAATTAAATGCATCAAGAAGTAACTTTCAGAGTTTCTTGTCGTTTGTTGCAAGTAGTGGTACTTCACTGTCCTTGAGCTACACACACAAGCAAAAAAAGCAGCCATTAAAACCCCTGGTGGATGAGAAAACACACATTTCTATTGTGGAGCTCTTGTCTTCTGCTTGAAACCATAAATCTGCAAAACTCCTGTTGTAAATTCTGAAAAAAAGTTGCAATGATTTGAATGGATGTATATTTTATTAATTCAAGTATCTCATTTTTTGTCCTTAAAATAGAGGAGTTCTATCAACTCTGTAACATGGTTTAAATGACGGAGTCCCCTTGACAGTCTTTTGCAGGATGTGAAGAGCAAAGAAAACTGCCAGAAAGAAATTATTCCTTTTATTGAGAATGCCTGGTGTTGGACTGCTGTAGACAAGCACAGAGAATGACCTCCATTTGTTCAGGCTCTAGATTAAAGTGTACCTTTTTCCATTAATGTTTTAATTAGGATGAGGATTGTGCCTTCAAAGTGGTTTGTCCTTTTACTGTGTTTTCAGTCTCATTGTAGGAAAACTGTAGAGCACATGGTCTATATTCCTCTCAGAAGAGACTAAATCAGAAGATATGCTTTGATCTCTAATGGGTGTTTAGTCCATTAGACAGGTCTAGAGACACTCAGAAGGAAAAGAACCCAAGCTCTGGACACTAATTGTCTTGCTTTGTCAGTGAAATGTGCTGTTTGATATAAACATAGCATCAAAGCTTTAAAGTACAGAACTCTATGTACCCATTGTAATTTTCATCGTCTACCCCAAAGCCTTTAATTTGGATATATCTGAGTGGATTCCTAGTTCAGGAGTTCTCACTGGATCAGTAAAGATACACTTACAGAGTACCCTACACCAAACGCTTGCATGCTTTGCCAGTGTTTGGTGGTGACAGAGTTCTTCCACAATGCTTTCCTGAAAAAGAAGAAATTATTCTTTATGCAAAGATTCTCCTTCTTAAGCAATATAAATATATATTAGGAATATTTCACCTGTAATTTTAAATCTTTCCTTTCACCTCTGCCCTGACGTGTATCTGACATAAAAGCTTTCAGTCTCTGCAAAAGGTTATTTGACGAGTTTAAAAGCCAGCTCAAGTCAGACAATCATAGTAGTGATGCAACCAGTTTTCTCTACCGCAAACACTCTAAGAAACTCTGACAGGGAGAAATGGTTGTACCACCTAACCCCAGTTATCAGAAATCTCGTTGTAGCAGCATGTGTGGAAGATACCCAGAATGTGCTTGGTGAAGGGAGTTCTCTACTAAAGTACAATTATGTTTAGCTTTTACGGAGTTAGTACTGTATGCTCTGCTTCTTGAGAGAGCTTTCCATTGCCTTTTACAGACTTCAGACTTGACTGGAGGAATTCTCTTCCATGCACAAAAATGTTTCCATAGAGTGATAGTGCTGCGCAGCTGTTTTGATGTTTTCATGAACATGATGAGCTTAAGTTTCCCACAACTTCCTCTCCCCTCCCTTTCCTATTCTTCAGCATTGAAAAATACTCTCTAATCCATTCATTTTTCTTTGCTTGCCATATTAAATTATATTAGTGTTTAAAATTGGGTTATTTCTTTCCTCAAAAACATACTTTATGTTCTTGCCTTTCTTTACATGGGGATGAGAAGTGAAATAATATTCAAAATCTCTGTATTTGTTGCCAAACAGGCCAGTTACTCTAACAGTGTTTTTGGAGCTTCAGCTAAGCATTCCAAGTAGATGTTAGAATTCTTTTTTTCCCTATCATATCAATAAGTGAAAAGCTGCAGTTGTAATGCTTTGGAGACAACATATGCTTATTAATATTAAAGACAGGATTTCTGAGGTATTTCACACTCTTTCCAACACTTTCCATCTTAGCTTAAACTGAGTTTTTTACTCCCATATAGTAAGCTGTAAATCTGGATAACATTATAACACAGCTGATGTGGACTTTGCAACTACTGCATAACACATTTTACCTAGCCTGAGTTATCCTAGGTGACACTAAAAGTTTAGCTTTTCAGAGGGCAGAGGGTGAGCACAGATAAAGACTGCTTGATGCAGGTCTTGCATCTGGGGGCTCAGAGTGCTTTGGATGCACTGGTGTCGTAACAGAGTACAAAAGATAGATGTTGCATGAAGTTACCTAGGAACAAGTTTCCCACTTGGGCTCTGTGAATATCTGCCCATTTCAAATGCCTATGTGGCTAGCTAAAATTGCCAGCTCAAATATGCAGGCTTCCTTCCCTTGCTGAAAATAGTTTTGTTCATGTATTGATTCTTTTGAGACATATTCTGGAGCTGGAGGTTCAAGGCAAAATGGGAGGAAAGGAATGTATGAGCTACTAACAGACTTCTAAAATATTTACTGTGGATTGAGAGTATTATCCTGTGTTGGAAATGCTGCCCTAAGGCTCTTCTGCCGTTAAACAGTCAAGAGTTAATAACCAAAATAAACAAAAAGCCGAATAACAAAGCTAATTATTAGCTTACTGGGAACCAGAACTTAAAGTTGGTTGGATGCACCTTACAGAACTTCACTAACATGAATGTTCAGTGGTTTTACATCCCAGAACCACAGCCCACTGCCTCATGATGTGTGCTCCATCCCTGGTGAATGAAAACATTGCAAATCAAGAAACTGGAATTTTTGGAATTAACAATGTGTTAATTTTGTAAGCCTGGATTATATCTGTGTTTGCAGAAACAAGATTGTGCATTGATATTCAAATGTAAAAATCAATATTCTGTATGGGATGCAGAATTATTTTGGACATTAGGTGGATATCAGTGTATAAGTTGCTGCTAAAATCCAGAGCAAAATCTCCTGTATAGTTCTTTTTATTTTTGCCTCAAAAGGACAAAAAAGAGAGATGTAGTTTTGTTTGTTAGACTTAGTGGTACACGTTAACGTTTATTTTACAAAGTGCTAAACCGAGGTAATTTTTATTGAATTTGTACTGAGATAAAATAACTGCTGATTATTTACTTTTTCACCTGAAACACACATTATTCACACATGATCAATTTTACTTTCTGAAAAATAAATTTCCTGAGTTGTCCTCAGAATAGGTGCTCCTGCCAAAGTCAGTTTTGGCTCTAGTCTTTAATGCACATAGAAAAAAGAATAATACCCCAATCCTTTAAATTACTGACTCAAACCATAACTACACAGTAACTTCCCTATGCTGTGAGCCCAAATGCTGGAGTGGAGTGCACTTTCTGTTTTCTGTGTGGAAACATGGATAAGTACATATATGAAGCCTTAATAGAATTCTAGTAAAAGGTAATATAAAAATATATGGAAAATATTATCCTTCTATTAGTTAATGCAGTACTACTCTTTGGCTAAATACTGAGCTGAAAGCAGAATTTTTGTATTTAAGGCTTGATGTATCTGCTGAATCTTGAAAGCACCTTGAAACCACGTAATTTGAAATCAGGCTTATTTGCCTTCTGAAGAAAATACTTCTGCCTTGGTTGTTGGTAGAGAAAAATCTGAAGTTGAGTGACAGTACTCTATATCTTACAAGTGAAAGTTTCTGACTTCTTTGTCCTTTGCCATTAATACTACTGTCCTTTATCATTAATGCATACTTCAGTGTCTACCTGTGGTTACTACTACTACTAAAAAGCAACAGTGAAGAGCAGAATCTGGTGGTGGGGCATGCACTGAATGATGTGATTGGAATTAAGGCCAGGACAGCACACTGCTTTCCTGCATCTGCCTAGTGGACATGGCAGTGACAAGCATCAGCAGCTCTGAATATGGAAGTGTGCCAAGAGCACCAAAACAGAAGAAACAGTCTATTGGGGAGACTCCTTGCCTGAGCCCACTCCAACTGCCTCTGCACCAATCTTGTGAGACACAAGCTGTGCCAGAGCCTTTTGGAAATGTTTCTGAAGATGTTGTTTGAGATGTGCAATAGCACCAAGCCATTTCATTTACCTACTGCTACTGCTCATTGCTGGATACCCTGTTTGATTTGTGAGCAATCTCAAGTGTCCCTAAGACTGTCTCTCACTGGCTGCTTGTCTCTCACAAAGGAGAATATCTCGTGTTCGTATCCCCTGGGAAATCTCTGAGATAGCAAGGTGTGATGGGAGCTGAGCAGAGCTGAGAAATTAGTATTAGGAGGACAGAGAGTGATTTGTTTCTGAGCAGCAAAGCAATTGGAAGCTGCTGGTGGGGTAAGCGTGAAGTGAAAAGGATCAGAAGATGGCAGGGAGAGAATGGTCAAAGGTAATTTTAGGCACTGTGGACAAAGAGAGGTTATGCTTGCTGTACGTAGGGACAAAACTGTTGGTATTGCAGACAGCCCCACCCACTGTAGTGCTTGTCCTGGAGAAAGCTGCCCGTGTTTGTGAACAGACATTGCAGCCTCTTCCTCTCCTGCTCCTGGGGCTTCAGGATGGAGCTCGTGTCAAGGGAGGCCAGAGTGCCTCTGCTTTGAGCACCATTTTGGGGCCTCCCGCCAGGGAGCAGGGAAACACCCAGAGAGGGGAGCAGAAAGGGTGTGGAGGATCTGCGGGGCAGAGGCTGCCCAGAGCTTTGTGTGCTGGAGTGCAGCAGAGCAGCAGGCTCAGGGTGAGGGGAACACAGGAACAGGTGAGATGGGAGAAAAGTTGGAAAAGCGAGGCCAAGGTCTTGTTTTATGCATCGGCGGTCATGGAAATGTTTCAAGTGACTCATGCACAGAAACACTTTGCCATTCAAAATGAAATTTACAGGAACTACCAGGAATAACTTGTTTTGCTAAAGGATGTTGCTTCCTGCTTTTGGAACAAGGGCTAAGACAATACTTTTGGGATTTTTTTTCCATATTTCTGCCCTCTGCCAGCCTAAGACCTTTTATTGTACCTGTTTATTTCCAAGATGAATCTGTGGGATCCCTCTGTTTTGACAGAAGCAGTAAACCAAGATCTCCTGCTGTCTCAACACTGCTTCTCTAAGGGTTTGATGGGTTATGGGTGAAATATATCCAATTTGTATTCTCATAGAGCAC